TAACTAAAATTATGTTTTCTAAATTTATGTTTTGTTCTACGCAGATTGGTGATTATTATTTGATTAAAAACTCTAAATACTAAATCGTAATCAAAAACTATATAAAATATATGTGTATAATTTAATAAAAGATGTTAGAAAAAAAAACAAAATATTTTCAAACAGAATTTGAATATTTGATATTGTTTTATCCACTTTATTTGTTATATGAAATTGGTGTCTACAAATTATAAAATTTATGGGGTATTACATATAATTAAAAATATAAAAAATGTATTTCATACATAACAAAATAATTAAGTTGTATACAAATTAATATAATAAAAATAAATAAATAATAGTAAGCCACAATTGTAATTATTTTTTGAAAAGTCCAAAATAAGGTGATTTGATATTGTGTCTGGTATTTATTTAATAAATAGGAGTAGATTTTGGCAACGCAATGCTTTATTGCAGACTACTTGTATATGCAATTTTTATTAGTGAACTTCTGTTAATGACTCTTATTATGAAAAAATTCCATACACGATATACGATAGCAATATCGTTATCGTTTTATCTTAGTGTTATGAAGCGATAACCAATAAAAACGATAAATTAAAGTAAAACGATAAAATGAAAAAAGCTTTATTGATGTGTATTTTGTTTGACAGATTCAAAGATTTTAAATTCATATGAACTTTACAGTAATATGAAAAATTTTAATGATTTTTTTTTTGAAGAAGAAGAGGTTAGTAAAATACAAAGGTGAATTTAAAAACATAGTACTAAAGTTTATTTAAAAAGAAAAAATGACTTAATAAATTAGTAAGATTCGGTGTACTTTTTAATGTTTCTATTGTAATCGTACTTAAATAAAATATAATAATATATTCGATTACGTTCAAATAAACAGGTGTTGCGTCATATAAATGCCCTGAGGATGTGGCGTCGAAGAATGCGGAAGCAATAGTTCACTAGAAAAGGAGAACATAAATTCTATATTTACATTTACTTTGCCAAAGAACGAGGTCATCAGGGATAAATGTATAGGAAAAGAAATATATATATATATATATATATATATATATATATATTTATATATATATATATATATATGCATAAAATATATATATATATATATATATATATATATATATATAAAATATATATATATACATATGTAAGCACTAGGAAAAAGGAATATATATATATATTTTTTATATTTATACAATATATATATATATATATATGCATAAAATATATATATATATATATATATACATATATATATATATATTTTATATATATATATATATATATATATAAAATATATATATATATATATATATATATATATTCCTTTTTCCTAATGCTTACATATGTAAGCATTAGGAAAAAGGAATTCGACACCACCGAAGTATTTTTAATTTGCAAGAACTTTCAATTTTATTTTGTTGCCTGTGGCAAATATAATTTAAGTTCGGCGCCGCAATTGTCTTGGACATGGGTCCCTAAGTTTTCGGGAACTGTTGACCAATTCCCTTAGGGATATCTCCGGCTTTGTGATTGGGACGGGGATATTATAGACGGGAGAGTGGGGGGGCTACAATAAGTCAAAAATGGCTGCGGTGGCTTGGGGGGTTACTCCTGTCCCACTCGGTTCCCTTAGAATCTACAATCTACAATCTACTAGTGTTAAGATTTGAGCAATTTAGTTTTTAACAATTTTTAACAAATTAAAAAGTTTTGTGAATTTAGTTGAATACCTAGGTACATTTATGTCATAGAATTAATTGCTTTTCTCATCAAATATTACTAGTTTTAAGAAAAATTGATTAACATTTTATTTTTTTTATGTAAATATGTCATGTAGTTTTTTCAAAAACGATTTTGTTATGTATTAATTATTTTGGTTTTAACTAAAAAATATTTTGTTACCAGTAATTTATTATAATATAATTTGTTACCTACATATAATAAGTAACTAGTTCGTAAGAACAAGAAATTTATTTTTGTTAATATTTAAACAAAATAAAATAATTTCTGCGTATTTTTTGTATTTAATCGTTTTTTATTTTTCAAACATCCAAAATCACCATGAACATTTCTAATTTATTCGAAAATACCTAATATAAGAATGTACTTCTTTCTTTCTTTAACTTGCTTTTGTTATTTATACTCTTGCTGTCACCAGTTTATTTAAAAGCAATTTTCTACATAAAAAATATTTTTTTAATATAAAACAATTTCGAGTCTCATTTCTTCTGTCCAGGGCTTGTCGTTTGATATTTTTGATGGGGAGCAGAAATATTCAAAAAAGGGAGCCACTTTTAAAAAAGTGAAGCCAATTCCTATATTTCATAAAAAAACTCTTTACTATCGTACGAATGCAAAAAATAAAAGGAAAAACAAAACACAAACTTTGAAAAAAAATTATTAACAAATTAATAAATTCGAATTGAAAAATATCACAATAAAAACTTAAACTTAAAATAATATTTTTTAACATGAAATCTCATATACGTTTGTAACTTCATATAAAGTTTAGGCTCTGGTTATGATAATTAGAAAATGCCTTAAAATAGTGACTTTTTTCTGCTGATCATATGCTTTGTGCCTTATTCGTTTCCTTATATGAAGATAAAAATGTGTTGAAAAAGCTTACTTCAAATAAAAAAAAATGTGTACTTTTTGTACAAAAAAATGTATAATTTTCTCCCTGTAAGTTTAAATAAGATCACAACTTGGCTCCTAGCCTTTCGCGTCAACATTTTTAAAATTTGAATTTAACATGTATTAAAATAAAACAACATAAAAACACTTTCTCAATTTAGTTTTAGTCAAATTAACAGAAGGAAATACCCTTTCAACTGCTGCTCTTCAATATGCTAAACTGAAAGAGCTTTGAATAAATTTTTCAAGTTTTCAACAACATACTCGGTCGAATTCAATCAAAATGCAAAATTGCAATATTAAGTTTGGTTATTTGGCACTTTAACTATTTAATTGATTAACTTGACTACAAAAAGTCAGGTGGCGGCTTTTGAATGAGCCGAAGAAGGTATATGCGCGCTTGTCTCCGTTAGCCAAGGTTTTGCCAACAAAATTTTAAATATGTGTTGCAAAAAAAATTTTTTTTTGTTTAAAAATTATATTTTTGTACTGAAAAATTTTTCAAGAATAATTATCAATATTGTTTTGGGGTCTGACTGAGGAGAAAACAAAGTCGGAGTCAAAATGCAAAAGAAGAAATCGGGGACACAAATTTTCAATTCGGAGCCAAACGACAGCCCTGTTGTTTAGCAATGTTGTTACAGACCTTGACATTACAATAAATTAAAGCCTGGACCCTGCGTTTTTTGTGAATGCATTTGTAAATTTGCATATGTATTTTTGGCGAAATGTCATTTCTGAAAAATCATTTTTTTTTTTTTTTTTTTTTTATAAGAATAAGCAACAGAATAAAATTTAAAGCTCTTACAAATTAAAAATACTGCGTTGGTGTCGAATCCCTTTTTTTTAATGCTTGTGTCCATTTATCCCTAATAACCTCATTCTTTGGCAAAGTAAATCTAGGTACTTATAGGATTTACGTTTTCCCGTTATCATAGACTATTGCTTCTGCATCATTCGACGCAACACCCTCGGGGTATTTATATGGCGCAACACCTATTTATATGAACGTAATCAAATATATGTATTATTATGATTATAGTAGAAACTTTGAAAAGTACACCAAATCTTATTAATTTATTCCTTTTAAATAAATTTTTATACATTTTTTTCAAATTCACCTCTGTTTAGTACTAAATGTTATGAACCAAAAACAAAATTTAATTAATATAAACTATAAATCTTCATTTTATTCACTAAAATTAAAATTAAAATTTCACCCAAAAAACAATTTAATATGCAACGCATCGTAACGCTATTTCATGACTGAATTTTTTTTATATTCTTCGCTTCATTTAATTTTACATATATTAATTGACTTGGCGCAATTGCAAAATGTACATACAGCTTATAAAATCATGTATCATTGTGCATATGTATCTCATAAATTTTTCTTTTGCAGTCTAATTTAGTTCGAATCGAAATCGTGATATTTTGGCTTTCTACTTTTTTATCACTTTAACTTGAATTGAAGATCTCGAAGGGTTCGTAAAAATTTTTTTTTATCGAATTTTCAAAATGAAGATTTTATTTTGAAAAAAAGGGAGACATCTGGGCTAATCTATTTGGCAATACTGATTTTCAATGAAAACTACCCTCCTTTGCTATTTTTTTGCAAATATGTATCAAAATAAAGCTCCAAAATTTATTTATGTAAAAATTTTTTTAGATGCAAATGACTAAAAACATTAAAGGACGGCAAGATTTTTTTTGTACCTATCCTGAATTCACAAACATTTTAAATTGCAATTATGTAGGTATGTCGTTAAAGTAGATAAGAATGTGATCGCAGCAAATTCTTATGCTTTACCAAAGTATAAAATAATTTTCACAATAATTTGCTTAACGCAGTATTGTAATAATTAGGAATGATTCACTTTCTCGCTAATACCTAAATCATCCCTTAGTAAAGTTCATATACAGCTTACATTGAAATCGATTCTTTCAATGATGAGGCATAAAAGTGGATAGAGAGACCGAAATGTCTCTAAAAGAAATATGTATGTATTTACCTTCGTTTAACATGTATAACGATCTATTTCTGAGAGAAACTTGTCTTGCGAAATTTAGTGTCTCATAAGTTTAAAATTTTGTCCCGTCTTTTTAAATTGTGTGGTTCGGTTTGCTGCTTTAAATAAGCTTTTGTATTTCGTATTATAAACCTGCATATACATACATATATAGTATTTAATGGGCTTAATGTATACATAAAGTATTATTTCTAGATACTTATACATATGTATGAATACAAATGTGCGAATGAAAATATTAATTTGTTTTGTTTGTAATTTTGAAAAAATTTTTTAGAATAAAAACATACACAGTTTTATAAATAAAAAACTCACACATATTTTTACTAATTTGTAGTTGTAATATATAAGTTATGTTTATTTATATCCTATACAGAAAAATATTTTTGGGTTAGTGTACATATTATATTTATGTAGAACATGGAATAAATTTTATTATATTATTCTTACTTATTGGTACTTGGCACTTCATTATTTATCCTTAAGATGACTTTGAAAGTCTATTTGTTCTTCTGCTTCTTTTGTTATAAAGAAAAAAATTTTGTTTTTGTTTTACAATTTTTAGTTAAAGATAATTTAAAAATTTTGAACATAATTTATTTACGCTATATTATTATTCACTTAACTTAATGATTTTTTATTCTAATAATTTACAAATATTTCTATTCACTCATTTCTATTCTAAAAACTGGAAATAATCCGCATATACAAAACTGAATCAATTTTGTTTTTTAATTGAAATTTTCTTCTTGTTAATTACAAGAAGAAAGAACTAATGGGTTTTGTAAAATGACTCCTATTTTTTTTAAATACTTTTATGTGAAAATTTTACAATTTGATATGAAATGAAAATATTATAAAAAATTTTAAAACACAAGTTTTCTTTAGATTTTAAGTTTATTCTTCACGAAAAATCTCTTCAAATTTTTCTTTCATACGAGTATCACAGTGTGCCTTAGTTCTTTTTCGTCAATTGGTTTAATTCAGTATTCTTCTCTTTTTTCCATTCTTAGTTTGTGCATTGTACTTCTTTTTCAATGTTTTTTTATTAGGTGAGAAGCTTTTTAACATTTGATGTTAAGATAGCATGCGCACAAAAACCTACATAACTTTTATGTCCTTTTTATATAAAAACACGGCACTGAACGTTTTGAAAATGAATAAATGGATAGATAGTTGTATCATATAGAATTAAGTTAAGATGACAAGTTATTTGAAAACAAATATTTATTTATTTATTTATGTTTAGCTCAAACATTTTACATAACTTAAAATTAAAGAATGAATATACAGATACATTTTTTTTAGAGAGAACAAATTTTTGACTTAAAAATTAAATTTAAAAATTATACAAAATAAAACTTATTAGTAATAATAGTCCATTAAATATGAATATAGACAATGAAAAGCTAAAACAAGAATTTGTTAAAATAAAGCAAAGGGTTATACTTAACTATAAGTAAATAGAAGCTTTTTCGTCGTGTCTTTCTTCAGTGAAAAGCCAAGTTTGTGTTTGTGTTTGTTGCATAAACGCAGCATTCTGCTGACAGGTTCATGTTTCCCATAATTAGTCCTATGAAAAGGAACCATGAAAGGATCCGGGGAACGAGACCTAAGGTTGGAATTAATCACAATTTTATTTAAAATATCGGGGGAGATTAAGTCAGTTTTCATAAGCTGAAAAATGAATAACAAATCCGCGACGTCACGTCTTTTACCGAGTGTGGGTAGGTCAATTAATTTGAGTCTGTGCTCGTAAGGTGAAAGAATGATGTGGTCCTCCCAAGGAAGGAGGCGCAGTGCGAACCTCAAAAACTTTTTTTGAATAGACTCAATTCTATTAATATGTATATCGTAATAGGGTGACCATACTTGTGAAGCATATTCAAGATGAGAACGGACCAGGCATGTGTAGAGTGATTTTAAGACACAAGGATCATTAAACTCCTTTGACCAGCATTAAATGAAACCTAACATCGAGCTTGATCTGCATATGATATGATTATAGTGGTTTATAAATGACAACTTGCTATCGAAGCAAACACCCAGGTCCATTATTGAATCAACTTGACTAAGAGCTTGGCCATTCAAAGTATAGTTTGTAAAAAATGGCCATTTTTGCCTAGAGAAGCACATTTGTGCACATTTACTTACATTGATTTTTAGGTTGTTTTTTGAGTACCAGCCGTAGAAGCGGTTAAGATCACTCTGAAGACACAAAGCATCATTTGTAGAGCTTATTTTTTTTTAAATTTTCATGTCATCTGCATATATTAATACCTCACTGTGCGTTAGCATGGAAACAACATCATTAATTGAAATTATGAACAGCAATGGACCTAAGTGACTATCCTGGAGTACACCAGAATTAGACGAAATAGGCGACGAAATTGCTGAATGAAAGAGAACTCTGTAAGTCCTGCCAGAGAGATATGACTTTATCCATGTAGATATATTTATAACAACCTTATGTAGATATATTCAAAAGAACCTTATTATGCCTTAAAACGTTTTTTTTTCTGTTAATTAAATGTTTTTGTTTTCAAAAACAACTTATAACAAAAACTGCATTTGTCCATATGACTCTTTCCAAAGTTTAAAATATAGAACATGTCTTTCATTCCAGTATTTTAATAAAGTGCAATCTTAAATGGTTTATAAAATATCATATGTATTTACTTTTAACAATTCAAGTTGGGAGCTCTCTCTACCGATCTCTCACGTAGCCCATAAAACGAAAATTCGTCGGCAGTTTTATTTTAGTAAATGACAAAGCTTTTTGAAGAGCTTGCAAAAGTTGAAAAAATCAAAACAAAATTTATTATATTAAGCTATCATAAATCACAATGTGTTATTGATATATGTACATATATAAGAAAATGTACAAGTACTGTATCAGAGAGATATATACATTATTTGGTGCAGTAATTTCGCATTTTACGGTTTTATTTCTTCTGACGTTATACAAAAATATTGCAAAAAAGAAAATGTTTGCAGGAATTTTATAAAATCATTGAGATAGTATATATACAGCGGCTCCCACTCGTATTCGTACAGCAATCATATTTTAATTCTATTTAATAAAACAGAAAATGTGAAATATATTTTGAAAATATTTTAATCGAGTTTTATTATTATTAATAATAGTAGTAAACAAAAATAAAAATTAAATTGCATTTAACAAACGAAATTATTAAAAACAAATATTTTTAAAAGTTCGTTGAACAAATTCAAGTCACAGTCGTATTCGTACAGCATTACATTAATTATATTATTAAAAGCACAAACTTATTCTAATCCTAAGTCTAATACGTTATTGTATACAACAAGTTTTTTTTGCGATGCCCGGAAAAATTTAGTTTTTAGCATTCTAACACTAATTTGGTTTTTAGCATGTTTACACTCGTTATTTGATGTTTTCGAGCTCGCTTTCTAATTCTTGCCATAAAATTTCAATCGGATCAATATCCGGAGATTATGGAGGTGTCTGTGCAACTTTCAGAAAATTATAAAGTAACCGTGATCGAGTTTTATAAGCAGTGTGCTTGGGATCATTATCTTAACAAAACTTGAAACTTTCTTCGATTCCCTAGCGCTCAGCAATTTCTTTTAAATTTATCTTAAAGATATCAATATACAGCAATCCCTCCTATAACGTAACCTATTACTTTAAATTTCGATATATGTAAATTTTATTTTTCCTACCTATTTTCACTTAATGTAATTTTTACCTCGTTTTACGTAATTTTAAAATAATTTAATATGCAATAATCTATTTTTTTTTTCATTTAAATTTCTTTCTTTACCAACAGACAACTTACTAGTTTAGGCAAATATCAAGTACATACATACATATGTATGTACATACATATTAGTCATATTAGTTTAGTTGGACCTCCTATAATGTAATTTCACTTAACGTAAAAATTTTTTGGTCCCAAAAATTACGTTATAGGAGGGATTGCTGTATTTATCTTGGTTTATAATAACTTTCTATTATAGCCAAATTTCCTATTCCAGGTGTTGAAAACACTGAACCTCCACCATGTTTTACAGTTGGTTATAAATTTACAAGCAAAAGTTTCGAATTATTTAGGTCTTCTCCAAACAATTTGTCTGCCACCAGAATCAAAAATATAAAATTTACTTTCGTTGGTAAAAATTACGTGCTTTTAAAACTCAAAATCTTATTTTTTTGTGCTGGCTTGCAAATTCTAAGCGCTTCATTCTATTTTTCTTATTATGAAAAGGTTTTTTCTGGCAACTCTGCCATTGCAACCATGATTTCTAATAGTCCATCGAACTGTTTCTGGCCTTACATTTTGAAAGTTGACTTAGGGGCATTTGTTCTTAATTTCTTATTTTTGTTATTATTTTGTTATCTTATTTTTGATTTGGTTATTTTTAATTTCTCGGAGAATAACGCGTTTATTCACGGTTGCTTAATAGCTTTCTAATTAAATTTCGTGGTTTATTCTGTATCCTATTTTCATCGGTATAACGCTTTATAATATACAGAATTGTAAAACGATTCCTTTCCAGTAAAGTACTAATCTCTGAAAGCGATTTGTCATTTTTATAATAGGCTACGGTCAATTTTGGTGGCTTTATATAACTGTACCAATATGACTGTGAGCTTTTTTTTTCGTTGTTTTTGTTTTCTTGAAAAGTTCTAAAAACAAATATTTTTTTTTTCTTTGTTTTGATTTAATTTTAATGATAAATAACCAATTTTGTAAAAAAACTAAAATTAAGAAAAATTTGCAAAATAATTTCGAATTGTACATTTTGCTCCGTTGTACGAATACAAGTGGGAGTCGCTGTGTATAGTTTCAACCAGATACATATATTGAAAAGTGTCAACGGTACACCGTATATAGAGGTAATATAAAGTATGTTGTTAAGGAAAAAATACGAAAAGTAATATAAAATGCGTTATGTAAATAGGAACACTTTTCCTAAAAATTAGAAATCTAAATAACAACGTAATTTTTGTTTTAAGTATTCTTTCAGAAAGATGAAGTTAAAGTTTTTTCAAATTACTCTTTATTAGGTAAATAGTAAATGGTAAAGTTCCCGACTCGTAACCCAACTTACTGCCTCGTCGTAAAGGGAGGGATGGATATTCGTCACATGTAACAACAGGAACACCAAGGATTGGATTACCATTGGCTGTAGCAGGTTTAAACCTTGGGATGGCTGTAACATAGCTGTGCTAAGTGGCGACAACGTTCCCAGACAGCACATCTGTGTTAGCTATGACCCAAAAGATGAAGCAACCGTCGGTCTCCCCTGGGGGAAGTTCTTCGATAGGATAGGGGAACAAAATCAGCTTAAAAAAGAGCTCTTGGAGGGTGCTCCACCCGGTTTGGAGGATCTATGGAAACCAATGGAGGATCTATTTTTCTTAATTTCTCGAGAATAACCGTCAGGGGAATGGAGAAAGGCAATTCAGTATCCTGGCGTCAAGGCAGGCTCTAAGGAGCCGACAAGACCAACATGCTCGAGATGTTTCTTCCAATATGCTCGAGGAAGTTCACCGCGGAGCTGTTGGAGCTGCGCAGGAGCCATTGCCTGCAATTTCGACTGCGCAATTGTTTAGAACAGGGTTTGCTAAGTGTTCGGGAACTGCTGTCCAACCTTCTTAGGGATGTCTCTGGTTTCATACTTAGAACGGGGATATTGTAGATAGGGGCGTAGGGAGTCTACAGTAAGTCGTGAATGGCTGCGGTGACTCGGGGGACACTCCTGCCCACTCAGCTCCCTTAGACATCTACAATCTAATGTATCTTCAACATATAAAACTGTGAAATGCAAATGTTTCATAAAAAACATGTGGGGCAAAAATGTTTGATAAAAAATTTACGTTCGAAAACTGTAGCATGTCTAAAGATGTAAAGCATTTTAAAATTTTGCTTATAAGTATGCTACAAAACTAATCAAGTTTAAAAGAAAAACAATAGTATACAAATATTAATTTATTGTTATTGGTTACATACATACATGTTTACATGTACATAGAATTCATGTAATTTAACCAATAAA